ACGCTTACATGCATATACTAGTAATATATGCTTTTGTGTATGTTTGTTTTTGTATTCAAGCTCTGCTGAGGCATAATATTTGTTTACTTAGCTAATTTTTAATGCATTTTTCTTGACTACTATTTTGTCACTTTTCTTTCTCTGCCGAATGAATGCCTGTCTTGAATATGTGGTATCATGTCAAAAGCGAATTAAAATCTTTTATTGTCTTCATAATTGCTACAGTGAGCTCAGTGCAAATAAAAATAATAATAATAATAAAAGATAAATAAATAAAAATGGCGAGAAGGTCAGACGATCGAAACAGTGCAAGAATATAAAAATATAAACAAAATTATCTAAGTAAATATATGTTTTTGTATATACAAAGCATTTTGTGTGCCATGTACTTGGCTTAGAAGCCGGAAATGTTGTAGATAATTTCAAAAGGATATTTGTATACTAATTAGTACAAATATTTGTATGTACGATTATGTATACACTACTGTGGGCAAAAAGTAAGGAGAATTTGTTTTTAAAACTAAAAATCTGTATTTGTTCTTCTACATCGATTTCTTCGTAGCTTTCAAAAATAGTGCCCTGCCAATGAAATGCACATATGTCAAGGTTTTTTCCAATTATAGAAGCATATTAATTAGGCACGTTCTCGTTTGGCCTTCCGAGGGCGTGCCAATTCACGTTTAATCTCCAAAATCGACTAAAAACGGTGTTCTCGAAGTGGTCACTTGAGTTTTTGGAAAAGCCAGAAGTCACATGGTGCTAAGTCCACGACTCATCTCCTGTAATCGTGCATTTCAGCTTGTACTGGTAGTCACAACGTGACGATTTTTTCAATGAAATTAAGTGTTTTTGGAACTAAACGAGATTTGACTTTTCGTAGGCCCAAATAGTCTTTCAAAATCGTTTTTACAGATCCTTCTGATATTCGCACCATATCAGTACGGTCTTTAACAGTCAGTTTAAAGTTAAAAAATACTTGGGAAAATCGTAAACATTTTATTAATTAATTAATTACCATTAATTAATTCACCAATTTAAAAATCTCACTATATTTTTTTTTCACACAGGCAAGTATCTTATGACACCTAGGCAGCGAGAGCAACTCTCTTTCTACTGTTTGATGATTAGTAAAGGAATACAGATTTAAAGAATTTTAAAACAGACATCGTATTAGTGGCTTGTTTTTGCCATAGAAATTTCACTTCTTTGTATTTCAAATTGTTGTTAAAAAAAAAATGGGTAGTTTTTATAAACTTGAGAAAAATATATTTTGAGCGGTTTTATTTTTATTTGTTTAATACTACCATTTTTACTACTTCTATTTTTTGCTTTTCAGTCTTTCACTGTTACTAGCGTTGATTTCTGGTATTACGCTATCTCTTTCTAATACTATTTTTAGTACCACCACTTTCAATAACTAACATTTTTTCATTTACTTCTTTTAGTACTTTTTTTTCTAATACTACTATTTTTTGTGACTCTAGTTTTACTGCCTCATTTTTATTTGCACTACTACTTACTCCTGCTGGTACTACTTTGTTTTTAGTACCTATATAATATTTTTTCATTACTCGTTTTAGTACAACTTATACTACTACTACTACTACTACTAATGTTTGCTACTACTATTTTTACTACTAGTATTTTTATTGCTACTATTTCTTGCCACTACGTAGAAGGTTGAACTTTTTACTACTGCTAATGATTTTAGTTTTGCTACTTTTTATTATGGTAACTGCTTCACCTAGCCTAATCTACCCTGACCTAACCTTAAAAAATCTCATATTAGTATGCCATAAAGTTTCCATATGCAGTTCTAACACAATCTAACTTAAACTGCCACATGCATGTGTATATTTTTATTTCTATTCATATCTTTCTTCCTCAACTGTGCTACGGGGCGTATAAGTCATTTCAATATTTTTTGTATAATTTTAGGCCTAAAGGATGAAATACGAATCTAGACTACACGCTTTGGAATATAAAATCACATATGTATGTATGTGAGCAAGTCTGATTTACATATGAAAGCAAACAAAAATAATAGGCGGTCATAATTTGTCATATAGCGCAAAGGGTTTGAGTGGTAATAAGAACCCCAATAGGAAAATAAATTTTGAAGCAGTTTATGTGAATTGAATTGTGTGATTTATTTATTTGTTTGTTTCTTATAAATAATTAAAAGTGCTAAGCATTGCTGATGTAGTTGGAAAAATCATCATAGGTTGATTACCGTTTTTAACTAATTTTTCTGATAATCCATTTCCTCAGTTAGACAAATTTTTTTAATTTTTAAATATTTGGCCTTTCATTTTTGTTTATTTATACAAACTAAATATTTACGACACATTTTCGAAGTGGTTCTCAACTAATCACAACTGAACTAGTTTAGTTGCTAGTATTGAAAAATATTTTCTACTGCCATTTAATGTCACATTTTGTAATTTATCAATAAATGTACACCAATTGTAGGCGTGTCTATATACAAATTATGACTTTATATAATATACCTTTTTGGCAACATCAAATATTATAATCTTACTTACCCCTATATGTAACTATGTAGTATAACACATATGTATATACCACACATTACACATATGACAAAGCCACGCGCTTCGCCACCCTTTAAGTGTGTTACAATGAAATTTCCAAAGCCGTCAAAATGTTATAAATAATTGGCATGCAAAGCAGCCAAATAGCGCCTTGAGGTAGGCTACAAAAAAAAATTGTGTGACTTTCGTTGCATGCAGTCGTGGGTATGAGTGAAAATAATTTAAATAAACAAAATGGCAAAAGTAAAAGCAATAAATCCACTGTCGCCACTGATGCCATTTTTCTGTAATTGCAATTCCTTTTTTTTATGTTTGTTGTTTTTTTCTTTTCGGTACAAAAGTTTATTCACAGAGTACTTCACAGATAACCAATTAACTGAGTTGATGTGGCAGTGACGCTTATTGATTGTTGACTTTTTGCTTGTAATTGTATAATAAGTTCGGCATAAGACTGAGTAGTAGATATAAAATTAGAATTGTCTATAGATTTGATATACTAATTTCAATGTCCAATTTCAATAAAATAAGGAGAAATGTGGAGAATGAAAGAGATTTTTTAAGAAGTTCATTTCACGGGCTCATTTCTCATTCCCACGGCCATGATTTTCTAGATTTCTAACACCACGCTGCATGATCGCTACCTGCTTGAAGGTAAATGCACTGAAGAACAGTATGACGTGGTAGCTGTTAAGTATAAGAAGCAAGTGTAAACGGGACCTTACGCGATCTGTCTCGGAATCATTGGGGTGTGGAATGCCCCTGGTTTTCGATCACGGGATGTTGGATTTTTCGTCTCTACTTCAGGCGCGCACTTTGGTCGGTAGGGTCGTCGTTGAAACAAGGCATGCTTTAGAGTCCTTCGAGTCTCTCCTAGCAAGCTCATTCGCCTTGCAGTTGCTCTCGGCCAGGGTGGGACACATTTGCGCGATAGTCTGTTCTGTTTGTCGGTGACAATCTAACCGTAATCTGGAGGTAAAGTAAGCGCTGTTATTGCAGTCTGACTTACTTTAACTTCCTTCCACCTTCATGATAGCAGAGATCTTTGACAACAGAAGGGTGGTTTGTATTGGTGCTTTCTTCTCTGCGTGGGATTTGTATGATGAGTTTTTTTCAGTACTTTTCATAAGTATTTCTAAACCTATTGATTCGCTCATTGGCTTGACTTCCTTAAACAAAGTACTCACTGATGAAAGCAGTATAATTTCATGAATAAAGTGAATATGGACTATGGAAGGCTGACGTGCTACGCTAGACTCGATTAAGTAGAAATAAGGGTGAATTTTACCCTTCTTCTTATAAAAAGCAAGTCACTTGCACGACTCGACTCGAAAACTTGAACAAACTTGGTGACTGTGACTCACTCATGATTCGCTATGGAATGCGTGCCGTTTTGTTTGGTTTCTTCTCTATTATTAAAGTATAAAAGTTGGGTGACCTTTAGAAAAATAACAACAACAGCCAACGAAGCTGGTGAGAGTATGCTTGAAAATGAGAACCTCTAAGCCTTATAGACGACAGTTTTAATATTCATACTTACACATGTATATGTACATAAATAAGTATACATACGTGTATATTAAAATTGTATATGTATGTGAAATGTGTGCAGACAAAACTTATAAGTCGTCATGTTATTTATTTATTAATCTTTTTTGTTTTTCTTTTTTGTTTTGCTTGAACCACCAACAACGTCATCAATGAAATGGCAGTTTGTCTTTTGTCATTGTTGCACGTCAAACTTGATTGTTGCTTTATTATTCTTTAGTTAAGACTATATACTGCATCATACTTGTCTATTTTCATATACAGACATTTGTGTGCATGTGTGTGTGTGTGTTAGCCTCGAAATGACATGTCCAAAATGCGCAACAAAAGTTGCTCATTTTCAAGAGTTTGCAATAGGAGGCAAGGATATTGGCATTATTTGTTGTTGTTTTTTGGTTTTTGCGGCTTTCATTTGTAGGAGAAATGTGTTGTTTTTAGAAAATTAAGTTTTATTCGAGTATTTGCTGCGCCTACGAACAGACAGACAGCTGTGAAAGCGACGCGAAAATAAAAAAAATTAATTACAATAATTATATTCGAGTATAAAGAGATAGTGAGCAAATAATAAAAAAAGGTCGAAGTAAATAAATAATTTAATGAGAATAAAATCAATATAAATATAATAAAGACGAAGACGAATTCAAAAGCTAATTAGCTACAAAAAAATAAAAATTTATAGAAATAAATAATAAATTAAACCAGTAAATCATAAATAAATAGATAAATAAGTCAAAAATAGTTAAATATGTAAATAAAAACGAATCAAAAACTATTAGTAAAAAAAATCAAATATAAATAAATAAAAATAATCAAGAAAATACTAAATAAATAAATTAAATAACGAAAAAATATTTAAAAAAAATAGATATATATACAAAACAATTTATAAAATATAAAAATACAAAAAAAAACTCCAATCATGTCCGACGACAGCATGGATAGCAACGCTGGATCAAACAACACACCCACCTCCAGTCCCGAGAAGCGTCGTTCCACCGTACCCGATATTCTACCGCATCAACGTAGCTTCGAGAAGCGCTACAGTCATATGATACATAAACAAATACTCGAGACGGGCGTGAATAAGGAAGCACTGCAAAGACAAATCAATGCATATTTTTCATGTGGCGGCGCTGCTAGCAGCACCAAAGGTGCCCAAGAGGGAGTGCACGAGGATGTAAATGAAAATGCAGCGACTGGTGCGGAGCAACAAGGGCAAGAGGGTAGAAAATCGTTAGATAAAGCGGAAACTGTTGATATAGCTGAGTTGCAGGATGCCAAAGCTTCAGCGGGTGAATTGTAAAACACGGCGACAAGAAATATTACACGTGAAAAAAGAAATAATACTTTACAAAAAATGTGTCTAAAAAATTGTAAAAGCACATTTTTTCATTTTTAATAAGTTTTAAGTGATGCCCGCGGAGTAAAAAGTGCAGGTATGCATGAGCGCACAGAGTCGGTCAGATTAGAAAGTCCCAAAAATTATTGTGCTATGCTTTTAAATTCGTAAACTGAACAATTAGCCGTAAATTATTGTAAAATTTGTATGAAAGAATAAAAAAAATATATTAAGAAAGTCGCAAACAAATTTTCAACTTTTTAAGACGATCATTTAAAAATATATGGAATATTTTTCCTCCAATAAATAGCGCAAAAAAATGTGGTCATATTCGAGATTAAACTTAGATATATGTAAAAGTTTACGTGTAAAGATTGGAAAATTAATATAACATTTAATTGAGTAAAATTATTTAAAAGAGTAATAAAATTAAAAAAAAAACACTACGTAGATTTTAAGTCTTATCAAATAAATTTGAAACAAGTAAAACTGCTAAAAAATATTTTAAAAATAAATTTTTACAGAAAAGTGTGCAGATATACATTATTAAAAATAATTTATGCAAACATTTATAAATTTTTTTCAACTACATTAGCCATTTTTTTTTTGTAAATTTTCATTGAAAAAAAAACAGAAAATGAAAAGACTTTAAAGCAATCTTTAAATCTACTAGAGTTAACCGTAACTTTAAAGAAACAAATTTGTTAAATGCTAAAAAGTAATTTTTTTTATTATTATACTTATAATATTTTAGTAAAGAAATTGATATACCGGTAAATACTTTTTGGCATTTATTTTTGGAGTTTTTAAGAAACTCTCAAAGAGCGCGAACAACACTTAGATAAATGTTTATTATTGCATTGTAGTTTTGGTTTCTTACAAAACATTTTATAATTCATTAATTTGAATCCTTGCCTATGTATTTTTTACCGGAAATCACTAGTTCAATTTAAGGATTTTTGATTTTTTTTAAATCAATTTTTTAAACTTTTCTGCTGCTAATTATTTTTCATTTAACTTAATTTGCTTTAAATAATATAAATAACTAACTTTACATTTCAAGTACTTGTGTTGAATTCGTAATAGCAACCTAAACACTTCAATCACCCTGTTTCGTTGTGGTATGAAAACAATTCGCTTCAGAAGAAAGTAATGAAAAAAATCGTATTTTGCTGATTTGGACGCATTAAGCTTTTAATATTAGAATTATTTAATGAATACATATTTATGTTAAAATATATATAAATATATATATGTATAAGTATGAATAGATCTTAACTCTAAATGTGAAATTTAATATTTAATAAAATTTTATTCTCAAAATTAAATAAATCCGTATTTTATTACATTTCCATGGTTCTTACATTACATAGCTCATGGCTGTGCCTCAAAAGTACTAAGTTGCAATGATAGAAAAGGCGCACTCGGCAAGGTTAAAGAAGGTCAAATGAATCTAGAATCTTTACATCAAATATATGCATACATATATACTATATATGTAAAAAGTGATTTCAGTCTTAAATAAACAAGTGAAGAGTTTAGAAATGATCGCATTCACATCACCCTGTGTCACATTTCACAATGCCTACATATTTTCCATTGATCTTAAATAGAGAACCGTTTGTTAGGAAATCAACAATCAAGCCGAATGGACTCACTTGCATCCTTCGTATAAATGGAAGACCAATTAAATCATGACGGCTTGTTAAGTAAACATATTTATACTCGTATTAAGTATATAAATATGTAAGCATGTAGCATAACCTCACTCATAGCAGTGGCGTTAATCAAACTTGAAGTGATATTATTTCTGTCTGCTTTATTAACCATTCACGCACTTCCGACGCCACCACAAGTCAAGCACGAGAACATTCAAGCTTCCGATGCCGCCGTTTGATGGGATGAGAACCAAATTTCTTGGCAGGCGGGAGTGAGGAAATCAATTAAATAAACACAACATTAATTCATACATACTCCTACATATGAATATATGAAAATGTGTGTTTCCATATAATAACACAAACCACAACGCATAGCAAAGCAAATACATACATCGAATTGAAAGGCTACTACATTCGCCCGGCAAATCCGGTGTTGGCAGTTCATTTGTCGTGACAGTAAATCGAATCGGAAAGAGAAGTGAAGTGAAGTGAAGTGCTTATGTCAAGTGGTTGTACATAATGAAACGGACAGAGTACCGACCATGGCCGGCTACTTAAAGAGTGGTCAGTTGGCTAGCAGAAAGTATGAGAACGAATGTTGCTTGGTGAAAATACTGAAAGAGTAATGGGGGGAAAAGCAGTCAGTCGCCGCTGATAGGAGGAGGGTGGGCGCATTGAATGACTTATGTTTGCAATTGGCAACACTTGAACGCCTCAATTCCAAGTGCAGCCAATTTTGAAAAATAAAACCAACACCCAAACGTATAAAATCGAACGATCATCAATAATACAATAGCATACGCAGGCATTCAAGTTGAATGGTGTGGGCGGCAGACAGAATAATGTTGGGGTGGCAAGCAGGCAATTGTGGCGTGCTTGCGTAAATGTGTATGTGTGTGTGTAGAAGAGCAGCATTGAAAGCTGTTGAAGTGGCTGACATTACAAATTCATGGCAAAGTGTTGAGTGTAAAAAAGGAAAAGAAAAATTGGTGCGTAAATACGAGTATGTGCGGTTAAAAGAAAAATTCAGTTGACAAAGCAACAAGTGCTGAACGTTCTTCTGCCGACTTTACAAGCATTTAGTGTAAAGCAATCCATTTGGTGGAGCAATTTTCTATGGAATGCGTGTAAGGCTATTTAAAGAAGAAAGGAATCACAAGACCAATGAAATTTCTTGGCAAGCAGATATAGTTTAGCACAGTGTTGCAATTTTTTTTAAAGCACAATTTAAATGTATGACAAAAATTCATTTGGAAATCGAGTTAAAATAGAGAAAATAATGTTTGGGCGTAATAATTTTTAACAAATTCACAACAAAGTGTCTAACAGAACATATTTATAATAAATTTCTAACAATATTGACTAAAATTTAATTGATTCCATAGAATATATATATTGTGCAACCCTGTTGAGCACTTCAACAATAAGGAAAATGTGCAAAAAGTGCCGTTTAATTATTTCCGGTGAACACTGTACCTTCACTATATGGGCATGTCAACCATTTCTAGACAATTTTTACTATTAAACTAAGGCAACTTGTTGAAACAACTTAACGCAAATACGGAAGCCAAAGTCAAAGTATTCAAAGAGGTAAAGTAGATTTGAAAAAAAAGAAACGTACAAAAAAGTAGTTAGACGCAAAGGAATTTATACAAGAGAAGAAGCACAAAGTGAAGTGGCAAAGAATAATGACAAAGAATGACAACGGAAAGAAGAAACTGGCAAGTAGTTTCTTAACTAACCAAAAAGTTAACTCCAACACAACCGTAAAGGAAATGGAAAATGTGCAAATAAGTTTAGCTGGCAGCAGCGTGGAGAATTAAATGGAAAAAAATCGTAGAGAAAATCAGATAAATTAAAGGAGAGAATAAAACATTGGCCTTTTGAAGTGAGCCGCACCATAGCACATAAATCAAATCGCTTCCTAAATCAACTTAACACCGCCTTTTGGCTGGCTAAAATATGCGCGTTGGCCTTTCATTTTCATTCTGCCGACCGACCGCATAATAAAGTAATAAATTATTTTCTCACCTATTAAATAAATGGGTTGATTTGGTTGGGGTTTAATGGATGTATTTTCACATAACCTCAATGTTTGCAATTTCCCTAAATCTGAATATCGCTACTGTTAACTCCCTTACTTATTTAAGCTACTATGCACCTGCTAATCTCACTTTTTCACCCACTCTGTTGCCAACTTTTCACTCAATTATTATGCTCACACTCTCCTTTGATATTTTCTACTTCATTGCTTCCTTCAAGCAAAAACACAAAAACAAAATTATGTTAATGGTTATGAAAAATACCTCAAATTACGAGGCATAAAAGAATTGATGTGGTACTAAAGGCAAATCACAAGATAGCACATTCATTACTTTAAGTGGTGCAATAATAAATATTTTTTCTACGGCACGGGTAAAGTCTGGCAGCTAATTCGCCGTCGCTGCGGATTTTACACATATTTTATTCATGAATTGGTAACACTATGCGTTGAAAGGAGCAAAATCAATCGAAAAATGGTGAATGAACAACTTCCGTGTGATTGAGCATTGCATAAATAGACGTAGAGGTAGAGGTAAGTGCAAATAATTATTTTAAGTGTAAAGCAAATCAACTAAAGGAAATGAAAAGAAAAAAAATTTGCAAAATACGTACACGCATTTGGCTGAGCATAAATTTGGCAAAGGATTTTTGTTACACAAATTTTTAAGGTTAGCCACTGAACAACTATGTATGTATTTATGCACTTACCGACAGTTGTCAACAGCATATTATCCAATAACAACGCAATGGCCACAATGATCAAGACGAGTTGTCGTGAGCCTCGCCAACCGATCATCCAATTCTTGAAAGTCGCAATTGAACCGGCGGCACGATAATCCTCCTGCCGGCAATCGTCCGGTGGCGGTAGCGGCGGTTGTGTTTGCGCTTGTGTAACATAATGCCGTCCTGGTGTCTTGATTGCTGCCGGATCTGTGGTCGAGTTTGTTGTCGGCGCTGTTGTTGTGCCATCGACGCCAAAATTTCCATGACCTGCTTCGATGCCATGCGGAGCGTTGTGCTTGTAGTTGGTGTTCTTGCCGTTCTGACGTTGTGTTGTTGTTACTATTGGTTCTTCGTTCCGCCACTGTGTTGTTGGTAGTGCTTGTTTGAAGGGATTCTTGCTGGGTGTGTTGCTATTTGATTCGTTGACTTTGTTGTAATGTTGTTGTGCGGGTGTTGTTGCATTGGTTAGTGTTGTTGTTGTTGCTGCTGCTGCTGCTGTAGCTCCTGGTGCTGTAGATGATGATGATGCCAAATGACTGGTGATGTGCTGATTGAAGTTTTTTGCTCCATCTCCAGAATCAGACGATTGCATTGCGCCACCCGCTTGTTACTATGGTGTAGGGGAAGATAAGCAGATGGAAAATGTGATTAATTTCATTTTTGAATTCAGTGTGGAATAATAATCAGATTTGAGGCAAGAAAAGAAGGTTAGGAATTGAGTTGTAATTAATTTCGGGGTATTTAGGATATTTGTTCGAGTAAAATAAACGGATTGACGTTTCGTAACTTCTTCGTTTCATATTCACAAAGGCATTCACATAGCTGTGTTTATTATTTCAATTGAGCTTACTTTCTAGTACTGAAGTCGATCATTCCTTGAGCGACAAATTTTCTTGTTCGATATATTTTATATATTGTAAAAATCGATATACACCCTTGAGAAGGACTGTAGCTTTTCCACATTTATTTACAAAATTTTCTCAAACCACATTTTTTTTTGAACACTCTTCTTGCCACATAAATCAAATATTATTTCACTCATAAATAATATTTACTCATTTAATAAATCAAGTAACAAATATGTTCACACTCAACTGCAAATGAAATCAAAAGTAGTTTATGAGATTAGAGTAGGAATTCCCCAAAGATATGAGACTACTCACGAACAAGGGATGAGAGCATGGCAGGAGATAAAAAATGTTAATAAAATAATACAAATGTAGCATGATAGCAAAGAGAAAAGTCGACACACAAATCGGATCAAATAAAAGTTAAGTGGCTGATGAATGATTGCGTTACATACTCGTACTTAAGGGAGGAAGAAGACGAGATTAAGCGCAAGGTATGCCAAGAGTAGAAAAAACATATTGGTGAAGCTTGAAATATTCACGCAAAAGAGTGAGGGCAAGTAAATGTACATAAGTTGTAAGTGAGTGTGAGATAAAGAAAGCAAACTTTGAAGGAGCAACTGCACAACTTGACAGAATAATGAAATGGCAGAGTATATGGACTTAATAAGGAGCCACAAGGCATAGAAAATTGGTAATAGACAAAAGCTGCTTACTGTTTGGCAAGCACGAATAGCAAGTGCCCGCCTGAATAAGAACAAAGCTTGCCGACTGAGATATATAAATATCGCGGCGAAGAGCTTAAAGGTGCATACCTCAAATATGGTAGGCCATATACGCATTCCACAAAACGGGAGACCGCATCATCGACGCCAATTACCTTTGGATAAATCACCTCCACACAAGGCTTTAAACTCCATCCGCAATGAACGCGTTTTTAGATCTGGTAGATCCACTGTTGGCAAGATATTCAAAATGTTCCAACTTTTGAATAAGATCACCAAGAATAAAAAGCATCGGCACACATAGCCTCTTCGTTGATTTTTAAGCTTCCATCGGTAACCTCTAAGTTTGAGTTTAGTAACCTCCTAAAACTTAAACGACTTTGCAGACTGACGCTGGGCAGCACCAAAAGCTCAGCCAGAACTGGAAGACAACTCTAACATAATTCAGCGTATTAAAAGATATCGACTGCGCTAGTTTTTTGGTTTTTTTTGTAACCGCAAAATTATACCCAAAATTAATTTCTTAAAATATTGCGGCAGATACAAGCTAAGGACGAATATAAATCCGGTTCGTTCCGTTGTATAGACTTGACGGTCACAAGAACTATTAGAACCATTGGATTTTAGTGCGGATAGGCGAAAACAAGCCAGCGGTAAGAGTATGTCATGTAGTATCTGCTGGGGAAAGGAAGAGGGAGATCTCCAAGCCGTTGTTAAGATTAGATGTAGAAAGAACTGGCGACATTGGGCCTCTCCAATTGGCGTTTAAGGCAAATATGGTGCGCTATTGTTGATTCGGCTGTACTCGCGTAAGCAGTATCTACAATATATACATCAATGAAGAAGAAGAAGAGCTAAAACTATTTATGTACTACGTAATTAAAACCGCGCGTGGCATGTATTTTCACACATTTCCCATAATTTTAATTTGTATATTGTTTTTATTTAACTACTTTGTATTGATTTTTTTGTGTAGCATTTTTTAAATGTTTTAATTTTTATTTTCCATTATTTTTTTTCGCCATAATTTTTAGTTTTTTATTATTACTTATTTTTTTTTTTTCACATTTTCCCTCGCCTCGTCATTGACATGATTTAACAGAAAATCCTAACCTTACTGACCTTTCATAATTCTCAACCATTGTTTCAGCTTTTCAGTCTCCCTGTATTGAAGTCTCCCTCTCTCTCTCTCTCTTGCGTGCATTTTTAATTTTTTTTATTTTACAGCCATTTAATTTTGTTAATTATAACGTTCGTTATAGAAATAAATACGTTTTATTTTTAATCTCTCACTCTATACCTTTAATTAGACACCCTTAATTGGTTTTTAAATATTCATTAACAACAACAACAGCAGAGCTAGTAATAGCAACAATGTGTTTACGCTTATTAGAATTGGTTTTGATTATTATTATTTTCTTTTCATCGCATTCGCTTCACAGCAGCACGTGTTGTCGTTTTTTAATAATGAAATTATATGAATTTCATAACGCAATATATACGTACATACATACTCGTATATGCTGGCATGTAAACACATGTGTAAGCAAATTTCATCAGCGAAAGAAACTTGTGCAAGTGTGTTGTTGCAGCAGCTCTGAGAAGATTTCTTATTAATGACTTTTTAATTGCTCGTAGGCGGTGAAATGAAAACAGTTAATCGTGAGTGGTGCGAAGACAGCAGAGAGTATTTTAGGCATGATTTTAAGACATAAATATACCGAAAAATAAATAAAAAATAAAATTTTGAAATTTAACACGACGAATTAATTTCCAAATAAAATAAGTAAAACTCAATTAAACTGCAGCAATTAAGCGAAACTCTATTTCTATTTATGCACGTTCTCTCAGCTATCCTTCACGCTGCAAGCGCAGAGTGCCGAGGCAAGAGCAGAAGTTGTCAATTATGACAGCTTTTTGATTTAATTGGCAGCGTTTAATTGAATTTATGTGAACGGCACTAATAACGAGTACACGTTCATACCTACATATACTTATGTATGTATATACATATACATACTCGTATTTATGCATGTTTGCCTGTGCAGTAAAGCTCGAAAACTCTGCCGAAGTGCAGGCCCTCAGCAAGAAAAGTGTCAGAGAAGCAAACGCACTTCACACCCACCCACAAACACACACACACACACGCACACACACATACTTTAAACGCTTTGAAAATAGACAAATACAAAAAACAACAAAATAGTGATCAAAGCTAAATAGAAAATTAAAGCAAAAAACAAACACACATACATATTATACATAAAGTTTTTCATAGAATATAAGGAAAAAGCAGATCTGTAAGGACGAAAGCGCACACACACACACACACACATTTGTTTAAATAGCACACCCACACTTTGCGCTTCACACAGGGCTGCATTCAGTGTCAAAGTGCGCGTTCAATCGACAGCCTAAATGAATTAGGAAAATTGAATTTCTTTAGAAAATTTTGTAAATTGTAAATTGACTGGAGTTTACATTCAAAGTGAATGTATTCACTTGCGCGCCTATTGGGCGTAATGTCTTTTTCTTGATGGTGCGTTCCTTTTTGGAGCAGATATACATACATACTCGTATATACATAGGAACATATAAAAATGTTGCACTATTTGCTGCATATTACGAGAAAAACAAACACTTTAGCTGGTAAAGAAAAGATTTCTGAGTGGTAAAATTTGTCCGATCGCCATATGAGGGTACGTGCCAAAAGTCACTGGGCTCTCATCGGTGCAGGCTACATGTTCGAGTGAGGTTAGTGGCTGCACGTAGCGCTCCTTTGCCTTGAAAAGACCTGTACAACGCAAGTAATGTTGTTGTGGTGGAACTCTACATATTTGTGGTCGAGTCGGCAACCGCGTTGACAATGACGAGTCTACCGAAGTCAGAAATAGCAAACGTTGGCACAATCCACGAATAAAGGTTTCTTACGACATTATCTGAGCGGTTACAGGCGACTAATGGTCACACAAAGTATTACTGAAGTTAGTACAACTTAAAGCGACCGCTCTATGCCATAAGATTCCGAAAACTTTCTGTCCGCTAACAGTATGCCAGGCGTGATACTTTGTTGAAAATACATAGATCGGTTGAGAAACAGTCCTCTACACCGAAAAGACCGTGCCTAGAATTAAATCCGATTTTTTCTGTGGAGGTGGAAAAATATCAAGTTCTAAACGGAACTTACAGAGAAATATATGCAGGTTGGCAGGTCTTGGCGTACTGGATTGTGTCGAATTCCCTTCTTGCTTCTAAGGATTTTTGATTTTTCAAGGTAATCAAAAGGTTGTATAAAGCTGACATCTGACCAGATGAGAGAGACCAGAGTACGAGAGCTTAAGCCAGAAGCTTAAAGCTTAATTTGCGATATTGGTTTGGAAAGAAAAAATGAAATAATTAAACGATACTGACTTCTTCTTCATTATGCTGGAGATCAAGTAAGAGCTATGAGTCGGATTCGGGGCAGATTATATAGCAGAAACTGAGCATGAGAATGCACCACTCGAAATCCGTATAGCCCTTTAGAGAGCTCCCTACGAAATATACATTCATCTTCTTTGACGCAGGTATCAATTACACGATTAATGCCGAATTAACAAAAGCGCGATAGTCGTTTCTTCTTTTTGCCGTTTTCGGCATCAATTAGAGGCAAAAAGTGTAGATGGTTCGCTCTGCACCTGAATTTTCTCTGCATAGAATACATTCTGACCTGGAGTATTTTCATCCATGCGAACAGTGTGATCTAGGGATTATATGTTCAGGAATATACCCGCTGTAAAACATGCCTGTCGTAACACTTCTAGAATTTGGTTTGATATCAACGTTTATAGCTTCTTCAGAAGTCATACGCTCTTATGGAAGATTGTACATTTTTGTTTTAGTTATACAGCTCTTTTTAATTTCTTCAGCTCTAGGTTGAAGAAGATACATGAAAGAGAGTCAACTTGACTAAATCTCGGAGAGGTAACATCCGATTTCGATTGAGCTCTTATTGTTGCATAGTCGTACAAGTTTTGCGGAGATACTAAACTCGGACA